CCAAGTAAAGCACCTCTTTCTGGAACAAGTGGCATTTGTTGGGATGGAGTTTGAGGTTTGCTGCTTTCAAATGCTTGAATACTTCCCCTAGCTGGGATACTTCCTCATCAAATGTTGCTGCAAACACAATGACATCATCCAGGTAAACTAGGGCTATCCTCCATTGTAGGCCTTCCAGTACTCTTTACATCAGCCTCTCAAATGCTGCTGGGGCATTGCTAAGCCCGAATGGCATCACACAGTATTGCCAGAGACCTTGGCCATAACTAAATGCTGTCTAAGGTCTATCTGCTTCAGCCATTTTTACTTGATGGAAACCTGACTTTAAGTCCAGAGTTGAAAACCACCTGGGACCACTTAGGGCATCAAGAGTATCATCAATTCTTGGCAGTGGGTATGAGTCTTTTTTGGTTATACTGTTAAGAGCCCTAAAGTCCACACAGCCACATTGGGTCCCATCCTTCTTCTGGACTAACAATGACTGAAGCTGACCAGGGACTATCTGATTTATCAACTATCCCTTTTTTAATTAGGCCATCCGTGAACTTCTACATCTCTTGTCACTTTGCCAGAGCTATTCTCCCCAGAGTGATTGCCTGTGTTTATTCTGTGCTTCACAAGGTCTTTGCAGTCAAGGTCATGATCTCTTTTTGAAAAGACGTCTCTAACCTGAAGAGCCTGTGATGATGACAAATGGACTATGCTCTTCTTATGGAGGTCAGTTAAATCTTCTCAGAGTGGATGTCCTTTCTTTATGGTTGTATTTCTTGCCTTAACACTGACTGGCTCTACCTCCTGGCACACACCCAACAATGCCCCTTCCTTAAGTGTCTGCTCACATTTAGAGAAATTGACCACTGTTATGGGTACTACTTGATGATCTGCCACAATTGACATTCCAATTTTCACATCTGCTGGCCTGGATGAGTCTTCCACTGCTTCCACAAGCATCAGGCTTCCTTGGGGATATTATTTTATTCTACCCCAAATTATCTTTTCTGACATAGGGGGTATTGTAGTTGACTTAAGTGCTGTGACATGCAGATCAACA